CTTTTTAACTCTCAAATTCTGTGGCTCTGTTACGAGCACATTCTCTGCAGCTGTTGGCTGACCTCGCTGTATTTTTGGAGCACGTTATCCACTTCTTCCAAGGAAAACCTTTAAAGTTAATACCTCAAAGTCTCATGTAACACAGGTCCAGTTATACTTTGAGGATCAAAAGATGTAGCTGTAATTAAACACAGATTTATTTTCCCCAAAAAAATCTGTACATTTATATAATCAATGTGTATATATATATATATATATATATACATTATATATCTTTTTTTTTAACAATGAAAAAGTCATGTACTTCTTAGGTTAGCCACATTAGCTAGACAGCAGGAAATCTGCCTTCACACTTTCATCATGTGGGTACACCAGACATGACATATACATTGGAAAAATGTCTGACTCTGCCATCATATGTTGTTATTATCTCTCAAGCAGAAGCGCGCTCCCACCGCATCTGTCCTCTTTAAGAAGAAGAAGTTTCCTCATCTTCTGCTTTCTATCAGGTAATTATGGTGGAAGATTGACGAGGCAGAGTGGTGGTCTGCTAATCAGAGGCTCTTCTCCACACTCTCTACGCCTCATTGAGGATGGAGTTGTACAGCTAACCTCTGCATATGCAGTCATTTTCAAACTTTTTCTCCAGCGTTCCCCTTTTGCTATATATATACATTATATATCCCCCTGTATTGACGTAATCACAGATTTGCTTCAAATCTCAGCATTTATTAACACAAACATTAATGCACTTTTTTTCACAGCAATGAAATAAATATTCCATTTGCCCCACCCCTGTATTAGCTCCCTGCCACCCCAGGGCGTGGTGCCCCCTTCTTTGAGAACCACTGGGTTAATGTAACATACAGACTCTATGTATAGTCAGATGATATAGCAGAGCAGCACTTATATGAAAACAATTTCACACAACCTCACCATCTGTGATCATCACTACTGTACGGTTGAACTGTCGGCTGCATCATAAAGATAAGTGGCTGCAGTACACGGTGCACACTGCACCCCCGTCTGGAGTGGACCTCCTTACTCCAGTGGGATACAGTAATTACAAGCTTTGTCGTAGGTGGGTAGGGCCTTGTCAGACCCTTTTTAATCTGGAATTTAATTTGTGATCATTAGGGTCTTCAACAAGGGAAGGGCTGCACGGTGGAGGAATTTATAGATCCAGCCCCGCCCTGGATGAAACATATGTATCGTCTAACCTCTCTTGGCTTCCACCACATGATACAAGCCATAATATAATGTTCCTCTTTCGCACATTCCTTCGCAGCAGTCAGAACTGTTTTTATTGAAGGGCTGTCAGTCAGTGTGATTTTCATTGGCACGTAGCAGGACTTACGCTCACTTTCACAAACTTCTTTAAATTAGATGTTTCTCGTTCAGTCTGTCTGCTCACATTTTTGTCTGCACATTTGTGCAGTGCGCTAAGTTCAACTCAACCTTACACCACCTTCAGGCCATCGGTTAAACAGTACAGGGCCACAAATATGACAGCAAAGGACCTGAACACCACAACCTGAAATGTTTCTGTTCTGTATGTCATCATCATCATCATCATGTGCTGCTCACTCAGTCACACCACGTCAGCCTTAGCCTTTACCTCATATTTTGTTTTGCTGTTAACACCCAAACCAGATCATTGACTGAGTCATTTTTTTTCTTTAAGCTTTTTGTTGTCAAGTAATGCTTAAAGGTGATTTGACCAGAGTTAAAGTGTTACATTTACAGTTGCTAAGCAAAAAAAAAAAGCCCACAAATCTATGTCAGCACAATGTGCTGCCCATTTCTAGAAACCTGAAGTTTGGATAAGGTAATGACCAACATTGATGTGTCTGTAGTGAGGACCGTTTCATTGGTTGGTTGAATGTGCACTTTGAGCATTTGTTCTCAATTGTTTATTCAGAAAATGCAGAAGCCTTTGTATGTTTTTATGCTGACCAAATCTGTTTCAGTGTAAACGGAGTCGGCCCGTGATCAGAATTCTCACGATAGCTAACCAGGCTTCCTGGTTTCACTGTATTGTTAGGCGTCGCCAGCTTCTTAATTCTTTTCTAAATTAAATAATTATAGGCATGTATGTATAATTGTGGTAAATGGCAACCTCCGTAATGGTTTTGATTTGTGCTCTGTTTGTTTCACACGCTGCTCTTGTTCCTTGTATATATTTCTATAATGCATTTCAGAGCAGGCCACCGTGTGTTTGTGACACCACAGCCCCAGAAACATGTTATTTCCTGTTGAAGACCAGGCAGAAAAGGCTGAAGTTGACTTTTGTCTGCACTTTCATGCTTAATAATTAACAGAAAAGATCACACAAACACTAGGCTCCAGTTTCTCCCAGCGCAGACTTGGAACCAGAGTTTTGCTCAGTGTCACCCTGAGTTGCATGTACCTGTTGCCCTCAAGGGCACAAAAACAACTCCATACCTCTGTCCCAGCACAACAGAAGCTGTCCATGGGAACAGGACCTTTCTGTTATTCCAGCTGCATGACATTCTTTGTACAGGCAGCTCCATAGGACTGTGCAGCCTCCTCTGTTATCCATTCATGACTGCACCAGAGAGGCTGATGTCTGAAACACCGGTCCTGTTGAGATAAACTGTTTGACATGAGCTCAGATGTTGGCCCATGGCCGCTGCTCTGCGTCTGACTATAAAATTTGAAGTGGTTCAAAAGATCAACTTCTCTATCTGCTGGCAGTGATGTCATCTGAAAGCCATGCATGAATCGGCCAGGCTGCAGGCAACCGTGCATGTTGGCACCTTCAGGAGGCAGCTGTTTAGGGCTGGACTGATGTTTGAAGTCTCAGCAGCCTGTAAAATCTGAACAGTGATGTCACTGGCTTCAAAACAACATCTTTAAACAGTATTCTGCCTGGAGTACTACCAGACTGTCTGGACCAAGTACCAACCCTCTCATTGCCTTCCCACTGGTATTCTTGAAGTCTAGATCTGGGAACTGCCATCTTGTAGATTTGGGAGCTGGTTGGGGAGGTGGAGCCGGCTGCCTCTGTTCTTAAAGAGATTATGATTCTTTTTTTTAAATTATATTTTTAGATTGATATCACTTTATTGGTGAGGATCACTGCTGGTCAGTGTTGATTAATCTCTTGTGTTGGCATCAGAACGAGGAGGTGGTGTTGAAAAAAAAGTTTGCCTTAGTTTTGCCTTTATACATTTTTACATTTATATATTTTTTGATGTGATTGAAGAGGAGCCTTCCTGAGGCAACGAGAACAGCAACAGAATTCTTACTCGCCTGGTATGTCAGAATATTTATGCTGTTTAACCTCAATTCTGGTCAATCCTGAAACACACCTCTGTCGGCCTACTGGGTGTGCAAAGGTCTACACTCTGTTTACACTAAACATTGTCAGATTTATTCATTAAACACTGTCGTTTTAGTTTAAAAAAATAAGAAAACGTTTTGGATCCTGAATTAACATACATTTTTAAAGGGAAGTCGTGTTTAAGGTTTACCCTGTGCCTGGACCTTTACCGTCTCAGTTACAGGGAACGTGATCCTCTGTAGTCTCCCGTAGCTGCGCAACATTTTCTCATGGTGAGTGGACAGTGGCGTCTTGTGTAATGAAATGAAACACCTTCCTCCGACATGGTGTTACTATAACACACACCTGACTCACTGCTGATTCATACTGTGTGTGAATGGAAGAGTGAGTGATAGATGACAAACCTGCAGGACCAGAATGTGGACGGCCCCTCCTGTTCTCTAATTATGACATGTCTAATTTGATTTTTTTTTTTTATACACATGGACAACATATTAATTAGGTTGAGTGAAATGGCTTTGAATATTACCTCACTGTTCAACTAACACCCCTCTCATATGACATCGCACATCCCTTTGATTATGCTGTTCACTCATTAAAAGTCAATCTTAATTATTATGTCTGTTTAACATTGATATTAGCAGGTTTACCTGAGTTGATACTGCTAATGTGTAGTACAGCGTTTTCCAACCACAACACACACACAAAATCTAACAGAATCTAACAAATATTTTATACTTTGTATATTTTAGCTGCGTGGCTAAAACGACTTCTGAGGCACTTCTAGTTGTTCTCTCTCAGCCATATGAATATATTAGTTTTCCAACTATTAACTTTGAGTTTGGTCAATAAAATGGCAGCACATTGTTGACCAGTCACTGACGAAGGATCAGGGGGTGATCGGTCAATAAAATGGCAGCACATTGTTGAACAGTCACTGACGAAGGATCCACAGGGGTCTTCATACTCACACCACCCGGAGCCAGGACATTCATTTGAATTAGTAGTGAATCCTTATTTAACACATACAAAAATATTCAAGTCCAGCCTTACGCATTTTACTGGTCCGAGTGAGGCTTTATTGACCAATTAGCATCAATCTCTTGGAGCCTGTAAAAAAAATCCCTTCCTCGTCTTCCTCTGGGGGAAAACCAAACAGCTAGTGTTTTAGAATGAATTATTCATGTGGTCCAACCACTACATTTTGGTGTTTGTTTTGGAAAGAGCATAGTAATTACACTTCTAATAGAGCAATAATGCAGTATTCAGTAGTAATACTACCGTATCCTGTAGTAGTAGTAGTAGTGATTTCAGCATTTTTGCTTTAAAGACACGAAACTTTTCATTTTGGTGCAAAGTAGAGAAAGAAAATAATATTCAGAATAAAGTGTTTTTTTGTTTTTTAGCAGAAATCACACTCGACAGAGTCTGTGACTGTACACATGAAATGAAGAGACCTGCTTGAAACAGTTATTTAATTATTACATGACTGGTTTTCATATGGAATGGCATTACAAAAGACTCAATTACTGTAACACTGTGCACATTTTTTCCAAGTGAGATACTAATTTTATGATCTTCCTGCAGAGAAGACCAAATTGCTTTCACATTTTTTATTACTTTGCTGTTGCTTCAATCCAAGAAATGCCACTGTGTTGCAATGTTTATAGATTCTGGATGATGTGAGGCAGTAATTAGCAGAGATGCAGGGTTGAGGAGTGAGGCCCTTGCTCTAAATCACATGGGAGTGTCTGTGGATTGTTTAGATTAAATTCTTCTGGATATTTAGGGTTATCATTCCCAGAGTTAAATAGTGATTTCTGTTTAGTGTACCAAGACAGGCTGGAGGTGACTTATCGTGTTCAGGAGGCCTCTGATCTGAGTGGACTGATCTTCACCTGGGATAGGATTCAGCTCCAGTATGGGTTCATTTCCACTGTACTCTCAGACTCTCACTGCCTCCCACTCTCTGCTCCTTTCTCTCCTCTTCAGCGTCCACACTTGCAGGTTTTATACCTTGGTTTTATTTCCCTCCTGCTGCTCTCTAAACACGCTCTCTTCAAACAAACCCTAACCTAGTTGTCCAAAGGCAGGGGGAGGAGGGTTGATCTGGGTGGTGGCCACGGCTCGGCTGCATCCTATTAGGACTGGGAGTGTTGAAAAGAGGTGTGGTCTGTTGCCAGTAACATCTGTGTCTGTCCCCTCTGCCCCCACGGCATTCTGCAGAGAAAGGCAGAGAGAAGGAGCTTCAGCAGGGAGTGGATACGCGCAGCAGACCTTGCTCATCAGCTGATTTGCTAGATCTTAAAGAGAAGCTGATGCCGCGTGGAGAGTCTACCTCTCCTTTGCCTCCAGCAACCACGCAGCTGCAGCCTCCCTGGGTGCAGGATTTTCCTCTGTGACGACACTGACAGCCCGTGGGATCCAAAGTGCTTATTAGACGCTCCAGCCCCCTGAACATGCCTCTTTGAACCTGCTTGGATGACATACCTATCACAGGGAATGCTGCGCTTCTCTGTGGACTGTGCAGAAAGCCGGCAGTGAGTAGGAGCGTATTAAGGGATGCTCAGAGCCAAACAGAGACCAGACCAGTCCTGGACAGGGTAAGATGAGCTCAGTGGATCTTCCTCCTGTCCCCTATAATCAAACGAGGGGAAGGAAATGCAGTCCAGAAGCCGGCTATCTTCTGACTGGAATGCATGTGTGTGTGAGTGTGTGATGACTGTAATGTGGCCGGCAGATATCATATCAGCCGCTGGGTGTGAGAGAGTGTGCTGCAGGGGAGTTTGGGCTGCACGTCTGCTTTATCACACACCAGGATATAGGATGGATTCCTCTCACCGAGGAGTAGGTGATTGTGTCATGTCTGTCTAATGAGGAGGTGTCGGTGTGGAAAACGTTGTTGCTGTAGTAACTGTGGGGGAAGGGAAGGCAGGATGACAGGGTGCTCGACGGACCGTGCCCCCTGGGCTGGTTTCTTGGTGAGAGAGTTTCATCCTCTCTATGTGGGGAATGCCCCGTAATGACGAAGCCGGTCTGGTGGTCGGGTGAGGTTATGGTAGAAGAATGTGTTCACACACACACACATGCACACACTGAGGTTTCAGGCTGATACCTCACACCTCTTTCAGCGGTTTGGCCACGACACCCGTTATCATTGTCAAGTGAGTGTGAGAGAGGGGACGGCATAGTTTCTCCATGATGAGGGGCGGAGAGGAGATAATCAGGTCAGTGAGAAGGAAAGTCACCTTGAGCATCAATGGGGAGTCGGGGGAGGTGGGGGGAGGGGGGGGTCTGCCCATGATTCTTCCTCATTTCCTGTAGCTGCCCGTCATTCTCAGGTTCCACTCTCACTTTCCCTCCTTCTTCCATGGAACTGTCTAGAATCTATGCTACATGTAAATACTACACAGCCTGGTGTTACATCTGACAGAGGTTAAAGTCTCCTCTCTGTGATTCTGCAGGATTTCCTGCTGGCTCTGAGTGATTGCCAGCCAGATTTTAGCCTGTAATCCCTCGTGGTCCAGTTTTTTTCTTTTTTGTCCACTAAATTAGAGAGACAATCCTATTTTCCTCCCCTCTAAACATCTAGGGCAGAATAAAAAGGAGGGTAATGTGCGGGGGAGAGGCTTACATTAAACCACACACCACACACACCCACCAGTCTTCCATCGGTCAATTCTGGTTACCATAGCAACAGAGTTGAATGTAGGTAGGGTTTTTTTTAAGGACAGGCTGCAGCCCAGGGTCTCCTGGCAGAGATTATGGAAACCTCGAACCTGTTATTGATGGGCTGCACTTGACGTAACTATATTTAAATCCATGTGAAACTAAGATTAGACTGAACAGCCTGCAGCCCATGTGGTGCATATTGCTTCTGTTACAGATTGCGGTGTCCCAGTGTTGCAGTCCACAGCTCATGAAAAGAGTAGATATATCTATGAACTAGTAGTCTTTCATTTCTGGAACTGTTTAATGTCTCATTCAGTCTCACCAAATTCCCACATGTCGGACAAAGTCCCTCAGACTTTTTTATACGACATCAAATGTTGTAGCACTTTAATTTGTGAGCGAGGTTGTAGCCTCAGCTAACGTTACCTTTTTGATGTGGGATTTGTACGCCTCCTAACGCCGTAGCAATAGTGTTTAAACGTCAGCAATCCTGGAGGCCGGGACAAACTTCCCACAACTGCTGTGGAGGTGGTGAAACAGCCGTAAAGCCATGACGTCTGCTCTGAGAACGTGTCAGGAGTGTCACCTTTAATCAAATGGTGATCCACTGCTGCAGCTGTGACGCTGAGCAGGGCACAGCATCTTTACAACGGACACTTTACACAGAGTGGTGACACAAGGTCACAGAAATCCTGTGGAAATGCAAAGTGGGACAAAGTGAAAAAATGTACTTCAATTTTAACTCAATTCCTTCATTCATAAAGAGAAAAAATGTACTTCAATTTTAACTCAAGATTTTAACTAAAGGTTCCAGCCATATCCCTACTCTTTTCATTCAAAGATAATCTGTTAGTGTTTCAAAACAACGGGTCATTCAGACTCTGAAACTGACAGAATGAAGTCTAAAAGATGTTATATATTTTTTTAAATTTAACAATTCCTTCATTGATGACGCAGTATTACTGGTCTGCAGTAACGGCTAGACCATAGTGCAGTATTACTGGTCCGCAGTAACGGCTAGACCATAGTGTTTTCAGTCAGGTTCTAAGTCCAAAACATTACAGAAAAGATGAAAATGGGTTACTATTCAGGGAGTACTTGAACCGGGTCCAGGAGTAATCTCTAGGAGTTGCAATATGAGTGTTTCGGACTCTGGTGGAGGTCAGGTCACGGGTCCCAGACTTCAGCATGTTGTACTGTATTGTTCTATGGTTCTTAGAACGCTGACAGAGAAGCTGAGTCATGTGAGACCAGATGCAAACATTTCATCACTGAGAAAGGACACAGAATATGTGTCTGTTTTTACTCATTAATCTCAGTGTCAGGTTGTTTCACGTTGTTCGTTTTATTCCTTTTTCACTTTCGTTATGCACAGACACACCTGTGCTATCTCCGTTGAGCTTCGGCCAAAGATACATTGTTTTGATGTGTTTTGAGTTTCAACTTCACTCTTGTGAACATCTGTTCTGGTGTGTTTTCCTGGCTGTTCAAACAAAGGAGTGTCACTGTGTAGTTTACACCAACAAGTGTTGAGTGATCATTTGCCTAAGTCCACATTAGCACAAACACTAACGTGCATCATGGACATGGCTTGTTTTTTGAATTCTCACTGGACCAAATTCATACACCAGTGTTTTTTTAGTATAAACCTTTGGTGGTAATTGTGCTCAGTTAAAGTTGCATTTGCACCTTGTGTTTTGTGAATGGATGTCCAGTAAAGATCTTATCTGTTTGAGAAACACTGTGTTTAAAACATCCATTTTCCAAAACCTCCTAAACCTGGATGAATGGGCTCTGATCCAGCTGTGGTTTACGCAGTCTTGTGTTTCAGGAGTTTCTCCCTTTGCCCCAAGTCTAACCTTCACTCAAAGAGTTGACCTGAAGAAGAATGCTAACACGTTCAGAGTGGGGGGTGGGCGAGTCTGTGCGCAGAAGCAGTTTGGCAGCCTTGTCTGTGGAAAAGAGCAGCGGACTTCTGACCTGGTTTTTAATCTCCGTCCTCCCTACGTTTCAGACACTCACTCCCTGCTCCTACATTTTTGCTTTGTCATATTGTTCATTTATGTCAGAATTTAATGGGGAAAACCAGAAAAGTGATTTTGATTAATGTCAGTATTTCTTTAAACAAAAATAAAATTGGAAATTTAGAATGCAGCCATATTTTTTCCACAGTCTTGAGTACATGTTTCTAACTACTTCTGAAGGTGTTTGAAGTGACATTCAAACACATGCACATTCAGCAGTGGTTCCTTTCTTTTGCTTTTCCTGAAACCTCAAATGAGACGTTGACAGAGAAAAAAAAGATGAGCCCTGACCCACTGTTGTTGAGTGTGTTGTAAAAATCAATTATCTGTTTGTTTAAAAAAAATAGTTATGTTGGAGGAAGAATGTTCTGAGTCAAGTTTTAAAATACCAAACTATAGATTTGAGTCTTTGTTGCATTTCCAGGCCGTGTACCATGTGTTCTGGAGATAAAGACTGTATACTTTTGGCTTTCGAGTCGCCCGAGTGTCTAAATAGATTAGTTATGCATTTAAAATATGCACCAATATGCGAGTCATTAAAGTGTTAAGTGAAAATAAACGCATTTTGAGGGTGCCACAAAGTGGACCATTTCCAGGCTTATAAATAACTGTGGCTGCTCTTATGGGAAGAGAAGCTTGTAAAAAGCAAGAAGTTACCACAAATTCTACCCACCAGTGACTGAATGCTTCCCCAGCTACACGGCAGCCTAACTGACAAACATTTTTCTATCATCACTGCATTTGCGCAGACTAATCCAGAGACCAAACATGTCAACAACTGCTGTTATCACCGAATCTACCGACGGGACATGGAGTGAAGAATGGAGACTGTCAGTGAGCCTGTTATCAGTTCCCGTCTCGTGTCCATTTGTGACTTGATTATTAACAGTTGAAAACAGGTCTGGCCGTGTGTACGAGGACTGTTCTTGAACTAATCACTTATCGTGCCATCACAAGGACGACAATTTGATTACATCTCTGTAATGTGGGTTCATACGTAGTTTCCTGTAGTCTGCCATCACAGATACTGCAGATACTGAAAACCAGGCAACACAAGTGTAATCTGGACATGTTGTGTACTATTATGTCCCAAAGACAAAGACACAGGCTGTTCCGTGTGCGTCCAGTCAATGCTTGGTTTAAGTCCTTATTTATCCAATCAGAGCCTGACCTACCTGACAACTATGTGTTGTCCAATCATACTGACTCTATTATTAAAGTGTAATTTTAAGAAGACAGACAGCGTTATACTGAAACCAAGACAGTCTTATGACTAGGGATTGGCCGATATTATCGAGCCTGACGTTAGCATGATTGTGTAATACCAGATAACGCAATTTCTCGGTTTCGCCAAATGATGTGTGACCTAAAAAATGTTTTGGGGGCAAATGGCTGTATATTAAAATGAATTGCAGCTCATTTTATTATTTTATTTTTATAATCAGGGCAGTGTATGCAGAATGCTGGTGCCACCAACTCATACAGTGGTTAGTACAGATAAACAAATAAATATTACTAGGCCTATATTGGTATTGGTTGATATCGGAAATTAAGTGTTTGTACAGTATCAGCATACTGGATATCGGCAAAAACTTAATATCGGACATCCCTACTTATGACTTATTTCCAGGTTTTCCAGATCTGAAAGATCTTATTTCAAAGGAAACAAGCTACAACTATTACCTGTGATTTGTACAGCCCTGTCCATTTCATACTTACAGTCTATGATCTGCACATCAGGCACTCCATCCAATCACAATGGAGATTGACTAAAAACAGACTATTATTCCAATTGTTTGATGAATTGATCAGCCTGCAGAGTGTGACAAAAAATGCCCGACAATATTTTTTCCCGACTCAACATATTCTGTTTGAACGCCAAATATTTTTTAGTGTGAACTGATACA